GTCATGTGTGGATGCGTATAGAGTGTATCAGTGTCGAGTTTAAGCCAGGTGTAGTATTCAGTGGTATGCATGGTGCGATGTTGTGAAAAATGAGTACTCTTTATAGGGTGGTGAGCATTGGGTGTTTGTGGCAGTGGTTTCTGGTTGCCTGAGTGGGTTCTGGTTGTCTGGTGACGTCAAGTGTCAAAGGCAATAGTGTTGGTGAGCTCATGGTCTTGTGATTTTGTGGGGCATTTCCCGAGAAGGTGTGTGCTGTAAGCCTCCTTCTTTAAGGAGTGTAGATTTCGAGGACGAAATCTTTTAAGGAGGGTAGATTGTAATATTAATGTTTTTCTTCATTTTCTATTTTTTGGAATTTTATGATTTTTCAAGGGTATTTTAGTCTTTACTCGTTTTACGTGTCGGACACCGTGGGATGTGCCGGGTGTGTCAAAGAGTTGATTGGGGCGTTTCTTTGAGTTTAGGACTCTTGGAAATGCATTTGTAGCCATTTCGCCATTTTTAGTTTTTCGGGATGGGAGGTCATAAGCGGGATCCGCTGCAGGGGTTGTTGAGCACGGGGGTTAAGTATCGGGTTCATTTCATTTAATGTATTATTATTTGATGCATTTTATATGGTTGTGTGCTTGTACATGTGGTGTAGTGGGTTTAGTGGATGTACATTGTATATAATAAAATAAAATAAGATATTATTAAAGCAAGTGGGACCCACCAACCCTTTCATTCATTTTTATGGCCTTAAAGCCATTATGCAGATCAGCTATCTCTCTCCCCTAACGTCTGTAACTCTCTCGCTCCTTTCTTTTATTTATTATTTTTTTTTTCTTTTCAAGCTTTAAAGCTTGATTTCTCCTCTAGCTTTGAGAAATTTTTGGTACCGTTTGCGGCAAATCGGAGAGCACGGCGAGATCTATACATAGATACCAGCAATTCACACTTTTGGCCACTTTAGGGATTTCGAAAAATTGGACCCATTTTGGTGATTTTCTCATTTTTTTGATGTAGGGGTCTCTAATGCATGCAATCTTTGATTTCGGTGAATTATTTCTCTATTATTTGATTCCACCATGTCTTAATTATATGATTTTGCTTGTGGTTATATGGGCTATGTCTAATAATTATGCTAGTTTTATTCTTATGTGAGAAATTAGTGCTATAAATATGTTTTAATTGAAATTATATGAAAAAACATGCTAAGTTTAAATTCCCTATATGCCAAGAATGTTATATGTTATGAATTTGAGTTCAATTTTTGTTGAAACTTTTGAGTTAATTATTTTTTTTTTTTTGTATGCAAGAATGATGTATATAAAATATGTGGAAATTGATATTGACATGATATGGAAAGGCATGATGCATTTATGTGTGGCATTAGGCAGAAAATGGGAAATTTGATTTGCAAATGAAAGAAATGATTTTTGGGGAAATGATTTTTTTTTTTTATGAAAGGGTTTGCGAAAAACCCGGTCACCTAGGAGTTGCTTAGGGACCGCGGCGTTAGTGTGGCATAGAAGGAACTGAGGAGATTTCCTTAGCGTGGTTGAGTTACCTGGGCCCAAATGAAGCCATGGAGTTGCCATGGGACAGGGACAGTTAGCCACTCTTTCTCTTGTGCCGCCAAGGAGTTGCCATGGGACATGTTACACTAACGGTTTGGAAATGATGACAAGAAAGGTTTTAGAAATGGGGAGCGACATTGTATGAAATTGCATTCCATAGCATGAGATGGTTCGTTTATGACTTAGATTATTGTTGTTGATGTTGTGTTTATATTTTTCCCGAAAATGGCATAATCCCGATTCTTTTTCCTATTCCTTGTTTGGATTCACGAGGTCACAAGAGGTATGTCTTAGGCACCTCCTATTGAGCTATTGTGCTCACTCCTTTATTATTAATATTTTTAAGGACACAGAAAGAAGGTGGCGGACGACCATCCACCACAAATTTAGACGGGATTGGAGATTCATATTTTGTTATATTTGTTTTAGAACTTTAATATTTTGTAAATGTAAATCTTGACTATTATGTAAAACTTAGTATAAATTGTATAATGTTGTAAATTATAGGCTTTTGATTTCAGCTATATTTCATGGATTGTACATTGATGTAATTAGAGTATATTCCTTGTAAATGAGTATGGGACTAGGTAGTGGACTTGTGCTTTCATGTTTTTGAAGGAATTAGAGGAACGAGACTCTTTTATATGTATTTTGTTATTTTGGGAATGTTTTATATTATTTGCATTATGCATTGGGACATGATAGATTAGTTTAAGACCAAGTGAGGCCATTATCTTTTTTATGCAGTTCAATACGTTGTGATATGATCTTTTTTAGCAGAGGTCATGCCGAATTTTATTTTATTTTATTTATTATTATTATTATTTTTATGATTGGTATCATTTTTGGTCGTTACAGTTGATCCTGATATGGTAACTGAAATTAAAACTCGACTAGGACTTGTTTTGATATCGAATATTGCCAATTACAAATTTATATCTCACAGTATATTTATTTAAATATATATGTGTCATCTTATATTAAATGTTAAAACTATAATTAAGATGATTTTGGTTAGAGATATTTTATTTATCAGTTTTTAGAGGTTTGGTAAATAGAGTTTGCTCGTGGGTTTAACCCACGCTTTATTTTTCAAGTTATTAGAAGTCCAAGTCTCAAGGTTAAGAATCCGCAGCTTGGAGACTTGTCTTTCATCTACTTCTATGTAGTATTGGTAATTATTGTTAGATGATAATTTATTTATGTATGAACTGATGAATTAGTAGTTTATGGTTTAGGGGTCCTTAACTTATAAGATTCCCGAGTTGTATTTTAGAGATCTACATTTATGAATTTTAATTTTGTAAAGAAGGTTTTAGTTTATCAATAGAATTTCTTTCAACGAATTATTTATTCTCTTTATTCTTCTTGTATTTCGTGTTCGTTTATTACTATATTGTTTTTGATATCCCCGGGCCTTTTTAGACTGATTTGAGAGTTTTTTTGGAACCAAATCATTTGTAACGGTTTCAGAAAATCTAAAACTAAACCGAACCATTTGACCAAAAGAACCAAACCAAACAAAATCGCGAAACACCAATTCAGTTCAGTTTGGTTCGATATCAAAGTTCCATTTTTTTTTTTGAATATTCATATTCAAAATCCAAATACATAACAATAAGCCAAGTTGATCAACAAATTCAAAATTACTAATACATTCCCTTATGCTACGTTTGGTATGCATGAATGGAATATAATGCAAATGGGAATGGAATGAGAATGAGAATGGAATGGAATGACCATTGTCATTCTATTATTTGGTTGTAAATATGAAATGTGTAGGAATGAAATGATAATAATAATTATAGTGTTTGATTGGATCAGTTTAAAATTTAGAATGAAATAAATTTCAAATTGAATTCTCCAAAATATCCCTCTTAATAACAAATAAATTAAATTAACAAAATGACATTTTTCTATACTTTTTAAAAAATAAATGGTGGCAGTGGTGGTGGTGGATGGTGGTAGAGGTGGAAAACGGTAGTGGTGTAGGTGGTGGTGTTGGAAGGAGATAGTGGTGTAGGTGGTGGAAGCCAATATAGGTGGTTGCGGCAGTTGTGGAAGGCAATGGAGGTGGCGTTGGTGGAAGGTGGTGGTGGCGGCGGCGGCGGCGGCGATAGCGGTGGAAGTTAGTAGAGGTGGCGGCGGTGGAAGGAGGTGGTGGTGGTGGCGACAACAGTGGTGGAAGGCAGTGGAGGTAGCGATGGTGAAAGGTGGAGGTGGCAGTGGTGGAAGGTGGTGGCGAAGGCGGAAGGTGGTAGTGGTGGAAGACGGTGGTAGTGGTGGAAGGCTGTGGCGCTGGTGGTGGTGGTAGTGGTGGAAGGTGGTGGAAGGCAGTGACAATGGTGGCGGCGGTGGTGATGAAAGGCAGCGTTGGTGGTGGTGATGGAAAGTGGTGGCGGTGGAAGGCGGTAGCGATGATGAAAGGCAGTGGCGGTAGCAGTAGTGGTGGTGGTGGAAGGTGGTGGTTGTGGTGAAAGACAGTGGTAGTGGTGGAAAGTGGTGAAAGGTGGCAAATGTGGTGTTGTTTGTGGCAAAGAAATGCGGTGTCGGCGGTGGAAAGCGGTGGGCGGCGATGAAAGTTAGTGGCGGTGGCGGTGGTGGTGGAAGATGGTGGTGGTGGTCGAAGTCGGTGGTTGTGGTGGTGGTGGAAGGTAGTGGTGGTTTTTTAGACTTGAAACATAAGGGTTTTTTGGAAAATTGATTTTTTTTTTTTAAAAAAAAAAATTACTTTGGGTATGAAATAGTCATTCCATAGGCTTAGTTGTAGAATGGATTTTCATTTTAATGGAATGGTCATTCTCACTTTAAATTACATACCAAACAAATAAATAGTTAGAATGAGCATTCCATTCCATTCTACATACCAAACATAGCATTATAGAACATAAGTTAATACATTCAAAATTACTAATATATTCATTCTTCTCTGTTACTTCTAAAAATGAATTGAATTAGTGAATAACTTCGAAACTACTAATATCCTAATACATTTAGAACTACTAATTCAACAAATACTACAATTCAGAAAACCAACAACATTCAGCCACTATAAAATTATATTATATTATATATATATATATATATATATATATATATATAACTTAATGGTTCAGTTTGGTCAAACCGTATTTTATAACTTAATGGTTCAGTTTGATCAAATCGTATTTTATAACTTAATGGTTCAGTTTGATCAAACTGTATTTTTAAGATTTCACAAATTTAAAACTGTAATCAAACCAAACCATTAATAAACTGAACCAAATTATAATCTGAATAGGTTGGATTTGAATTTTCCATTACACGGAATTTTTGTGCACCATACACATGATGGTTACTTTGTATACATACTCATACGACATATCTACTATTTTGTGTGGGTTAATACAATTGAAAGACAAGTGTCACTTTGTTGATACAATTGAACCATATAACGCTTCATTGTCATACTTTGCTCTCTCTGGCTCCATCCAATTCTAGTGCTCGTCCACCCAAATCTCATTCCTCACAAATGGGGTCTGTCTTGGCTCCTCTCTTCCTCTCTGTTTCTCTCTCTTCTCTCTCTTCGGTCTTTGGGTGAAGATCAAAAACAACATATTAAAATTTGTATACAAACTCTCATGATCAAGCAGAGGATCACAGACCATTGTGGGTTAGGTCATGCACGGTGAAGATTCCAAGGTTGAGGAGCAGGTGGTCACCTATGCCTGCGATTATATGAACAAGATCAACTCAAGGGGTATGTGGCTTGGAGATAACCCCCTTGACTTTTCTCTTCCCTGTCTTTTGTTGCAGCTCTCTCTCATCTCCATCATCACTCGTTCCATTTACATCATTCTCAAGCCTTTTGGCCAACCCTTGATTGTTTCTCAGATCCTTGTAAGCTCCTTTCTATCTATCTTCCATAACTTATATATATATATATATATATATATATATATATATATATATATATATATATATATTATATTTATGGTCTCTATATATTTAATTTTCTTGAATTAACTATGAATATGCTTATCTTTAGGATTATGCACAAGTTGAATTTCAAAAATTTCCCTAAAATTTAAAATGAGAAAAAATAAAAATTAAGACAACCCTAACATGAATATGTATGTATGATGATGATTGTGTTGTCCGGCCTCTTGGATATATAATTAGAATCACGGAATGCCGCCCTACAGGTAGAGTGGACTACACCTTATGTGGAGTGATCTCAACCCTCCTTGTGCACTGGACCGTCCAATGCACAGGAGAGCATCCGGAATCCTTGGATATAAGCTTTTTGGCCAACCTTTTTTTGGTGATTGCATTTGGTGCTAACCTTTAGTTACTTAGGCTCTTTACATTTATTTCTTAAGCATTAGGTAGGTGCTCAACTTAGTTGTCCATGTCATTGCTCAACAGTTTGTGACTTAAGAAATTGGATTAATTTGCTTTACAATTTTTGGGTCTACTACGAGGATCCTATAATGACTTGAATTTTCATTAGCACAAAAGCTTGTAGTTTGAAAAATCTGACACACACACACACATACAGAAGGTTGCTAATTTTTGTGTTTGATAGGGTGGTGTTATCATAGGTCCTTCGATTCTTGGGCGAAATGTGACGTTTTCAACGAAAGTGTTTTCTGTCAGAAGCAGAACTATAATGGAGACAGTATCAGTTTTCGGGTTAATGCTCTTCATCTTTCTAATTGGAGTCAAAATGGACACAACCATGGTTTTGAGATCTGGTAAAAAAGCCTTCGCTATAGGAATTTTAGGTTTCTTCATTCCTTATGGACTGACCAGTTTCGCGGCCTTCCTCCTCAACCATTTCCTATCTTTGGACCATGATATCTCGAGCATACTTCCTTCTGTAGCAGCATTGCAGTCTATTACAACCTTCCCTGTTGTCGCTTGCTTTCTTTCCGAGCACAATCTCCTCAATTCTGAGATTGGACGCTTAGCTTCTTCGTCTTCAATAATCTGCGATGTATGTCATATGTCTATAATGTTACTGAAGTATGCTGCAAAGCTAGCAATGGCAAAATCATTAAAACTATCGATAGGGTCTTTACTATCAAGTGCTCTCTTTATTGTCCTTCTCGTATTTGGAATCCGTCCAGCAGCTTTGTGGGCAATCAGACATACCCCAGAAGGAAAACCTGTAAAGGAAATTTATATCTTCGGAGCCATTTTCGCTCTAATGGGTGGTGGACTTGTAGGTGAATTGATTGGGGTAAGCAGCATGGTTGCATCTTTAGCTATTGGCTTGGTGATACCGGATGGGCCACCAATAGGAGCTGCATTAGTCGAGAGGCTTGATTGCTTTGTTTCTGTACTGCTCATGCCGCTCTTCTTCACTATGTGTGGATTACAGATGGATGTTTTTTCTATAATGAAGTTGCAAAATGTAGGTGTAATGCAGTTGATCGGTGTAGTTGCTTTCATCGGAAAGACTGTAGGAACAATCTTGCCTCCTCTGTTTTGCAGAATGCCATTCCGAGATGCCCTTTCCCTTGCTCTTATCATGAACACCAAAGGCATCGTTGAGCTTGCTTTTTTGAATGGGTGGAAGCAAGACAAAGTAAGCTACCTTATTCTCTGCATTTTGACATGCCAAGTCAATTTAGCAACCATGGTTTTCACACATTTATTTCACACTTTTCTAATTAATGCAATCTAGTTAATCTATTGATGAGCATGTTAAAGGATAAAAGAATTGAATGGGCTTTTGAAAATTGAAAAACTTCAAGTTATTTGTTTTGCTGTTACAAACTTAATCAATGGTTGTAATCACATTAATGCAGGTCATGAACGCAGAATGCTATGCCATAATGATAATCTTAGTGGTGGTTGTGACAGGAATTATCTCACCCATTGTGAAAATCTTGTATGACCCTTCAAGAAGGTTCATTGCTTACAAGAGGAGGACCATCCTACACAGCAGACGCAATGATGAGCTCCGAGTACTTGCTTGCTTGCACAACCAAGAAAATGCCAGAGCGATCATGACTCTCCTCCAAGTATCCAATCCTACCAAAGACAGCCCTATAGATTTAGTTGTGCTCCACCTTGTTAAGCTCATGGGCCGCGACTCCTCCCTGCTCGTCGCTCACCGGGAACGTGAAAAGTCTTCTTCAAACCCATCCCAATCTGAGAGAATATTCAATGCATTCAAAAAATTTGAACAACACAATGGCCTTATCATGGTGCATTGCTACAAAGGTATTTCGCCATACGCTACAATGCACAACGACGTGTGCTCCCTCGCTATGGAAAATAGAACGATTCTCATTATTGTCCCTTTCCACAAGCAGTACTGGGCATTTGGCGAAATTGGCGAAATGGTAGAAAGTTCTAATGCATTTAAGAATTTGAACAGAAATGTCCTCAACAAGGCTCCTTGCTCAGTTGGAATCTTCATTGATCGCGGGAACAAAAGCAAGTCGCAATACATAATAACAGAACCTTCTTTATATCAAGTTGCAGTGTTCTTCTTTGGGGGATTAGATGACCGAGAAGCGCTAGCATATGCTAGGCGCATGTCAGAGCACCCCTGTGTGACACTCCATCTTATTAGATTCACTGCCTCAAATTCAACTGAAGTTGTGGGGGGTACAGAACGGGGCAAGATGCTTGATGCAGATATTTTGAGCAACTTCAAGGTCAAAACCCTTAGCAGTGACCGAGTTTCATACCGAGAGGAGGTGGTGGCTAGCGGAATGGATGTGCTTTCAGTGACTAGATCAATCGCGCAGGCGTATGACCTTGTTATGGTCGGTAGACGCCATTGGGATTCACAGATCATGTCTCAGCTCGCAAAGTGGAATAGATGTGGAGAATTAGGGGCAGTTGGAGAAATACTCGCAGCCTCAGATTTGAAAGGCGGGCCTTCGGTTTTGGTGGTGCAACAGCAGACCAGACTATGGGGATTGCAGGACCCTGAGGAGTCAACACACTTAAGAAAAATTAGTTTGTAGGTTCTTTCAGATTTACAAGACGTTCATATATAGACTATGGTACTATAAACAATCACCATTTCAAGTTTGGTGTGTCCATACATTTGTTTTTCTTTGTTGTATAGACACGGATGAATTCTTTTAGTGAGAAACAATGAGGATTAAATTTTAATACATGGATGTCTTTTCTTCTTTTGTCCAGCTTCTTCTTCTTCTTTGGCACCAGTTGTTACTGCGTATAGGACATTTGCAGAACCTAATTGACATATAAGATGCCATCTAACAGACTTATATGCTCAAAGATTTGCACCTTCAATGGAAAAGAAGTGGGAGTTATCAGACAATAGAAGAAAAGGCATCCAAGGCTAAAATTGTAAGGTGAAGGAACAAAGGATCCCAAAGCCTAGGACACCTGGCTCCATGGAAATAACCACATAGCTCTTCATTTATGGGTATTGATGGATATGGAGAAAGAGATCAGAAAGATTAGGAAGATGCATCATTGCTGTACTAAAATTTTTGAGTAGTTATTTAGGGACCAAATTCGACAGTTACTGAATTCAATTTATATGAGAGAGGTGATGGGACTCACCGCATGATGTTACGATAATGTGATGGGATTCAGCATTTCTGTCATATAAGTCTATTAAGTCTATTGAATTCGATCCTTAAATCATTGTTCAAATTTGTTTGATAAAATTATTGAAAAAGTTCATTCGCCCAAGAGTATCTAAAAGGAAGGTCAACAAATTAAATCAAGTCAACTTTTAGGGAAGAATAGGATATCCCCTTATTATTTACCAAGCAAGCAAAAATATTGTCATTTATCCTCCTTGTGACAAAGAATTTTGAACAAAGTTTTTTAAAATGTGGAGGATGGCCTTTAATTTGTTAGCTAATAGTTTAAAATTTTGAAAAATGATACATGAAAAACTGAATCATAAAAAAAAAAATAATAAATAAATAAAATAAAATAATTAAAAATAATACATCTTTCGAATTCGAAAATGTCCAAAAAGTATTATGTAGGTGGAGTGTGAGGGCACATCACATGATCGACATCACCCCGACATCATATAGTGAGACCCCATCTCCACTCACATACCCCTTATTCCCTATTAATCTATTCAACATTTTTCGAATTCAAAAAATATATCATTGCTTTAAAAATTTTACTTATAATTCAAATTACAATAATGAAATGAATTGGATCTACAGCCATCGAGAAAAGAAGGTTTAGGACCTTAAAAACAAGTCCTAAAAAATGTGAAATTAATTTCAAAGAGTCCAGGACTCTTTGAAATGCTAAGGTTGCCATTTTTGCATTTTTTCGTTTTTCAGGCCGTACGGTTCTGTGTTAGATCCGCTACTAGAATTGTTACATCCGGGGAACTTGGTTGGATTCGTTTGCATCATATTTATTTTATTTAATGTGTTTTAACTGATTGTGAATTAATGTGTATAAGTATATATATATATATATATATATATATATATATAGTGTATAATGAGACTAAAAATAAAAGAGAAAATAAATTTAATTTTTGGTGGGGCCCACATATCATGTTAAAGAGTGAACCAAGAGGCATTTAGGCCTCATTTTTTTTGCTTCCCTTTCTCTCTCCCCGCTGGTTCTCTCTCTCACCCCCTTTACTTTGCTTTTTCTTTTTCTTTTTGAATCAAAACTTTAGAACTTGATTCCTCCTTCACTACTTGGAATTTTTGAAAGCCGTTTGCGGCAATTTGAAGAGCTCGGCGAGACCTTCACGTTGATGTAAACAATTTTTTGTTTGGCTAAGCTTGCAATTTCGAAAATTAGGGCTTTGATTTGGAGTTTTGGGGGTTTTCATCTCCATTGAGGTAGGGGTGTTCTAATGCATGATTTCTTATACTTTTGTGAGTTTTATAACTTGAATTGATGTCTAACATGTTCAATTAGTATAAATTTTTTGTAAAAAAATTGCTGAAATGAAAGTGTGGAATAAATGTGACAAATTGTTAGTTATTCTATACTATTTAAATATGCTTACATGAAGTTGAATTCATGTCTTATATGCTTATTATGCAAAGTTGATGTTAAATGAGAATTTTAGTTATGTAATTTAGAAATTTGCTTTATATAGCATGTGTGAGAATTTTATGATAGAATTAATGAATTGAAGTATGAAATAGTTCATGCATTCATTGGGATAGAAAAAGGGAACAAAAATGTCTTTAAAACAAGTAAAATTGTTTTTGGGAAAAAGTTTTTTAAAAGTGTTTACGAAAACCCGGACGCCTAGGAGGTGCCTAGTGGTCCGTGGTGTTAGTGTAATCTAGAGGGGAGTATGGTTGAGCTAACCAGACCGGATGCGACGCCTTGGAAGTGCCTTGTGGTCATGGATGGTTAGCCAATCCTCTTTTCGTGACACCTTGGAGGTGCCTTGGGTCGGATTACACTAACGGTTTGAAAGTTGATAAGGAAATGTTTCAGATATGGGAAGTGACATTGCAAGACATTGCATTTCATTAGAATATATGGTGTGTATGTGTTTGGGTGACAGTTATTTACTTGTCACTGTAGTTATTGTCATGTACCCCTATGCTATGATCCCGTTTTCTTTTACCTATTCCTTACGTGAATTCACGGGGTTATAAGAAGTGTGTCTTAGACACTTCCTACTGAGCATTTAGCTCACCCCATTATTTTAATGTTTTTAGGTTCGGGAAAAGAAGTGGCAGGCGACAATCCACCACAGTCTTAGTTTGGATTAGAAGAATGTATCTTTTTGCTACCTTTTGTATTAGGCCTCATTTGTAAACAATTGACCTAAAGTGTATCATTTTGCAGCATGTGAAGTATTTAGTTTCATTCTGTACATGGCTTATATACACTAAATCATTTAGTGTATTTTATGTAACGTGTTGTAAATTATGTTAACAATGTTGTTGTTAATGTATTAGATGTTAAAATGTATTTAAATGTGTACGTGAGCGTAGTGGCGTGGGTGATTGGTTATCAATGTTGGTGTATCTCGGACATTGAAAAATTTTGAAATTGGATAACCTAGAACCGGTCGACGTAAAATTCCCACATGTCGACCAGATGACCTGAATCAGTCGACGTGAAATTCCCACACGTCAACCGGTATCTTTGCAGTAGCTATTTCACTGTACATGACCTGAACCAGTCGACGCATAGCCTCCCACACGTCGACCGGTATCTTGGCAGTGGGCAATGTCACTGTGCGTGACCCAAACCAGTTGACGTGTGACTCCCTAAACATCGACCAATTCCTGTGTAGTAAACATTTGTGACTTATTTTTCCATTTTGCCCTTAATCACTCACTTAAGTGTATTCTTACACATTATAAGGTTCAGTAAAATACAATAATTATATTTTAGCCATGGGAATGACTATATTGCTGCGGACTTTATCTTATTTATTATGTGATTCAAGTAAATGACTATTTTGCCCTTTAAGTCTCAAACCATTATAATTGTGATAAATGATCATCTTGTCCTTATTGGACTTTAATATACAAATTTAACGTGAAAGGACCATATTACCCTTGGATAATTTTGGGTCGGGTAAGGACCCATTTAATGATCCGAACCCAGTGAATTTGGGTCGTTACAAATTTGGTCCATATTACCCTTGGATAATTATGGGTCGGGTAAAGACCCATTTAATGATCCGGACCCAGTGGATTTGGGTCGTTACAAATTTGGTATCAGAGCTTTAGGTTCGAAAACCTAAGGACGACGGGTAGGGTTGACCTAAGAATGACTTGAGCTAATTTAGATGCATTGCATGTTAAAGTGTTTATTGTTTTGAGAAGAACGCTTACTTGCTTAGTTGCTTATGTGTTTACAGTTTTGAAAAGTATGCTTACTTACGTACTTGTTTATGTGATCACATGTTAATGTGTCTAAAATAATATGTACTATTACCATGATGATGATAGAAAGCATGTTAATTTTAATATGATGACAAGTATGAGGAATATGGTGACAAAACGTGATAGGCACGGTGTGTGCAATTTTAATTTAAATTTTAAAGTAGCAACTGGTGAGCACGGTATGTGCAAGCGTGTTTGTATGGTATGGTGATGATTATTTAGGCATGGTTTATGCAATTATTTTCTTATGGAAGATGGGGTGTTTAAAATTTTTTTATGAAGGAACATGATTGTATCATGGTATGGGATTTACAGAACGGGATCTGATATTTACATATATATGTATTCTTATATGTATACATAGTCGAGTATGGGATGATTGTGTGAGTTTTGATTTGAGTAGGTGAGGAGCTCGGTCGCTCCAGGATTGATGGGTGCCAGTTCTTATCAAATGAATGGTTTGGTTTTTTAGCTCGTGGATTGAGCTATTTAGTGTGCATTTATTTTGACCTTTTCGTTGTATTTGTGCAGTGCTTAGAGCACGACGTCAGAATGGGTTTGTATTTTATGGCATGGTGCTTTTGTTGGGTGTGAGTTTCATACATCAGCGAATGGGTTTTTGTGACTGTAAGGGTCAGGTGTGCGAGTAATGGTTTCGTGGGAGAAAAGTATGATGTTAGAAGGTTAGTGTTTGTGACTTGGGTCACGATTTAGTGCGGAGGTTCATTTTGAACCGGTCGTGGGAGACGTAATAGGGGTTTCTTGAGTCATGAGTATAGTCTGTGGGTTGTAGATGTGTGATTGCGAGTGTTCTGGTACGATTCGAGGAGGCGTGTTGGTTCTGGCTGTCTTGGGGACTTGTTGAACTCTGTAGGTCTAGGATGACGTAGGCATTGATTGGAGTCATGCTAGCGTTGGGTGATCGATTGTTGATGAGATTCGGTCCGTGGGTTGTGAGAGTCTGTTTTGGAGATTGGTTTGTTGAAGGGTGATCCCCATTTCGGAGAGTTGCAAGGCATGTTACTAGTAATTGACTCTCGGTGAGTTGATTACATAGCTTGGTTGATGAACGGGATTACAGATTGGCACGGTTGTCAAGAGAGTTTCAAGGTGAGGTATAGTGGTCAGTCTTAGTTGTGTAGGGTAGGATTGCACTGTAGGACAGGTTGTGTGAGGTCATTGAGGTGCTTGTTTGTTTATGGATGAAGTGATAACTGTTGGGTACTGTGTTATCAAATGGACTGTGTTCTAGAGTTTGAAAGCTGTGGACTGGGGTTGTATTTCAACTGCTTATGGAGTATGAGGAGATAGTG